CTGGAAAAGCTGGAAATGTAAAGACTAGTTTTCCAGTCATGGAAATTGATTAAAATGACCAAATTTCCTAGAAATGTTAGAATTTTTAGATCTCCTATGTAAACCTAGGTGTGTTTTCTGTTTGAAACTCGACTGTTGGAAGGACAAGCTGTATAACACTTCAAAGTAGGTTTACCAGATGTAAAGTGGAACTGACAGCAGTGATCTTTTCTGCATCAAGTCTATGTGACATTCTTATATCTCCATGCATATACAGCCTGTTAATGATCACATTTCTTGTTGCTGTGATAAATAGATGCACAGTGATGAACAATTTTTTTTCTAGAAGATTAATTCTCTGTCAAATAAAATAAATTCTACTTTATTTGAACTGTTAGGGTCTGTAGCCAAATGAATGTAGTCAAGTTGCCCAATATTGCAGCTTATATGACTGTTTGTTAGCAACTCCTGGGAAATGTGATGTAAGAAGAGTAGGAAGCCTGAAATTGTCTTTGGCTTCACCACAGTCAACATGGATTACAAATAAGACAACAAGTATGCAATACAGTCCAATAGGTGTATTACAAAAAGTGCCAAATTCCCTCAGAAAATGTTCTACCCAGCTCATGTTATCAGGTGAAAACAAACAACAAACACCAGCATACCTACCAGTAACACTGAGAAAGTGTGTGATTGAGACTTATGACTCCCATTACACAGACAGATTATTGTATCAGTATGTGTGAGACACATTCCCAAATATCATATATTTGTAGATGTTTGTCCTCAAAGTATAGATTTTCACTTTGAATTACTGTCCATTCCTCTATTGTGGGGGAGTCGGGAGGCAGTTTTTACAAGAAGATACACAGGACACAGAATAAATGTTTGCTGAAGGGCCCTGAATGAAACTCAGTTTTTCCTAAAAGTGTAAGTCTAAGTAAAAGTGTAAATGGAAAGGTGTTCTTGTATTAAATATGGCTTTGACTGCTTTGTGCTTCTCTGACCAGAAATGTCTTTGAAGCTGTGAATCCCTAAAACGTTTGTGTTGACAGGCTGTGGAGAGGGTGCTCTTTCCACACCTTCCTGCCTACTGGGCCAACCTCCAGGCTGTGTTGGATGACTACTCTGTGTCCAATGCCCAGGTCAAAGCAGATGGACATAAGGTGTATGGAGCCATCCTGGTCAGTACTGCAGTCCTTACAGTCAGCAACTACAACACTCCTGTTTGGATTTGATTTTTAGGCAAAATCCTCACTGCTAGGTAGTCATCACTTTAGTTTTTGCAAGCACTGACATTTACACCAGTGTTTCTTATAGTATATACAGCATATGCATAGTAAGCATAGCCTGTTCATTATACTACATCATGCTCGTGTGGTTTAAGTTTTATAGGTTTTAAGTACAGTTTAGTTAAATCATTATGCTTTTCTTAGTTTCTCATATATCTAAAATGTTGCAATGTTGGATGTTGATATTAAATGAATTTCCCACATGGCATTGCAGCTGTTTGCAGTCAGTAAGTTCCCCTGTCTGTCCTGCAGGTGGCAGTGGAGCGCCTGCTGAAGATGAAGGCTCTGTCTCTGTCTCAGCCGGCAGAGGGAGGCTCCAGTGGTCAGCCGGGCTCTGTGGCGGGCACTATGGGCTACAGGGTGAGCTCCCCCGGCCTGAGCCCCCCTCCAGAGCCCCTGTCAGAGGCTGCCCTGGGAATCGCCAGCCACCTTCAGGCGGGCGGGGCTGGCTGTCCCTGGGAGGAGTGGACCCCTGTCCCTCTGCCCGCCATGTACTGCGAGCTCTATTCTTTCTTCGGAGACAGCCTGGCCGTCAGGTTCAGTACAGGTCCCGGCTTTGGCAGCTACCCCCCCTGCACCCCGTCCCAGCTCGGGGATGCCAGGAAGGAACCCCCTGGCCTCGCCTCCAACCCTGATACCACCCGAAAGATGCCACAGCTGACTGCCAACCTCAACATCAGCCCCAGGCAGGATGGGAGTCCCCGCACTGATCCACCCCCACCCAGCCTGGCAGCTACCGGACCTGGAAGGTAAACCAGTCTGACCCTCTGTGAAAGCTGAACTGTTGGGTTTGTGTCTGCAGAGCTGAATGTAGCTGACTTCCTTCTCTCCTCCAGGTCCTTGGCTCGCTCCTCCTCCTCCTCTTCCTCCTCCTCTGTGCAGCGCTCCAGATCTTCCTCATCGCGTTCAGGCCAGCGTTCGGCTGGTCTGTCTCGCGACGTTTTCCCCAAAGCCCGCTTCACCTCCCCTCAGACTGGAATCCCGGTGTTCGCCTTTCTCATCGGCGGGCGGCAGATGGGTCGCCGTTGCCAAGGCCGCCGCCCCTTCCAGACCACCTTCGCCCCAACTCCACCTCTTCCTGCCATCCCGCCACGTGCCTACGCTCACAAACTGCCTGTCATCGGCAGGGTGGGCAAACCTGTACGCCGCTGGGCGTGTTCCCATTACTCCCTACATCTGCCGCTCTAGGGAGGAGCTTCAGACTGTAGAGCTACAGACCCATGTTCACATTTTCAGCTTTTATGATATTTCATAGTTCAAGTTGCAAGGATTCAGATTTCTTATCAAGGTGGAGAACAATATTTGGACTGTAGACACTGAGACAACACAAGTCTTTATGGTCAATTCCAACTGATTTAAAGCTGCTATACGTAGTATTTGAAAATGTCTGACTTTGGCACCCTCCAGTGGTGGTATCAAAGAAGACAGTGGTGGACAGCAAAGTCCAGCACCACTCCACCTACGTACACAACCCACTGAAACTGCCCCAGTTTTCACTAGGAGTGATTAATTTTTCTACAAACAAACTTTTTACTACATAAAAACTCAGCATATATGAGCTTTAATATGAAGTGATGCTGGCATGGACCACAACAATAAAATCAGGGTACATGTAGTTTTTTTCATATTTTGGCTTTTGAGCCAGGAGGCAAGTCAATCAAGAAAACATTTTTCACTTTGACATCAGATAGGGCAGCATAATAAATAGATAACTAAATAAATATAATGCAAGCAAAATAAACACATTTGCAAATGTGATAATGGCGTACAGACATGCACTGTGTGAACAGCATGTTTGCGGAGAGACGTTGGTACTAAAAATGCTAATGTTAGCTAGTGTCACCAATAATGGCAGTTTCCTGTATGTGTGCAATGGTGCTGGTGTGCAGCTGGTATACTCTGCATTAAAAACAGTGACACGTAAGAGTACTATTGCATATTTAATTCAGCAAGAAATGGGGCAGTAGTATTTGCACATTGTCACTGAACTTGTGTTTGACTTCAGGTTGTTAGGATCATTATCAAATTAGCCACAGAAGAGAAACTACATAATTATACATTTTGAGTAAAATATTCCTTTATTCCTTTATTCCTTTCTCCATCCACAGCTATGAATGATGCACATCAGAAGGGATTTAGAAGTGGGTATACCCAATGCAGACAGACAATACCCTGCACTACACCACTGCACACGTGTTGTCAAATTGCTTCTGAATGAGAATTATTATATTATTATTAACATTATTATTATGTGTGTTGAAGATGTTTTCTTGATTACATTTATTTGGCCACTGAAACAAGTTGTGAACACAACACTGACCTATTGTCACCTTTTTAAGTTGATATGGTGAATCTGTTAGCATCATTTGGAGTCATGTTCATGTCCACCCAATGAATGGAAGTCCAATATTCACACTGTTGTTGTTGTTTTAGTCTCCTCCAACTCTTTATCTGCTGAATGCTCCACTGTGGCCCCTTTTCCACCAAATTAGTTCTGGTTCTTGACCCAGTTCTGTTTAAGATTCTTAGAACCATGGTGCCATCTAGCAGCCAGTCTGCATTTCCACCAGTTTTGAGTGGAACCACAGTAAGCAGATGCATTATCAACAGAGGGCGCTGTACAATGCACATAGAACTGCAGAATATGACGTGCCAGCTTTTCAGGCTCTGAACCAATTTGCTTTTGGTGAAATGCTCTGAACAGCTCAAAACTAGGTTCTTGAACCGGAATGCAGTCGATTCCCTGTTGGTGGAAAAAGGCCTGTGTGTTCATCAGAGTGTCAGTAACAGGATCCCACACACAAGAGAGACTAGAAATTATGGAGTATGGAGTGATGGGTAGAGTGGTTATTCCTCCCTGACTGAATACCTGCTGAGGACAGTTTATAGGACTGCTGTTTGACATCTTGAACATCTGTTGTTTTCATAGAATAAAAATATCTGTTGTAGTTTTGAAACCTGGCTGGCTTGTATAATTCACAATTGTTTTCTTCTCTGGCTGAGTCCGACCTGCTGTAGCTTTCTAAATATTTAAAGCCTAACTATCCTTCAGTATCTGGTTGCAGTCTGCAGAGAAACAGAGCAGAGAGGACCAACAATGTCCCGGCTCACGTCCTCACTGGCTCTGTTCTGTCAGGTCAACGCGCTCTCCTGCCTGGTCCTCTGCTACTTGCTCTTCGTCGTGCTGGGAGGTGTGGTGTTCATGGCCGTGGAGAAGCCGGTGGAAAGGGAGCTGAGGGCCGAGGTGGAGGAGCTGCTTCGCTCCTTCCTGCAGGAGAACCCGTGTGTGCAGGAGAGCGGGCTGAGGGAGCTGCTGGGGAAGGCTCTGTCCGCTCACCGCAGCGATGTAGCCGTTCTGAAGGCTGACGCTGAGGAGAGGAGCTATGATTTTACATCTTCACTTTATTTTGTCATTGTCACTCTGACCACCATGGGTAAGATGCATTCAATGCAGATATCTTAAACCAGGCTGCAGCTAGTCAATATTTTCATTATTGATCATGATCAATAATAATTTATCAATAATAATTATTGATCTTTTCCCATTTCATTCCATATAATCAACTAAAAATTAGAATCATTGTGTTTTTGTTACCTTACGATGAACAGTTTTAGCTACAGAGGGAGAGGGTCCAGTGTGTAGGGTTTAGTGGCATCCAGCAGTGTACAACACAAGAAACGCCCTAATCTAGAGACAGCATTTGGTTTGTACTTTCTGGGCTACTGTAGAAACATGGTGGTTCAACATGAAACAGAAGAGGATATAAACATCTAATTCTTCGGTAACGAAAACACAATGATTTTTATTTTCAGGTGATCATACACTAATGAAAACATATCTATGGATATTCTATTCCATTTCTGACAGTCATTCAATAATGTTAAACAATGGACCTTTAAGTAAATCTTGCTTATAGTACTCAATATACTACTACTTAAGTTTCAAGGACTGCAGGACTGTTATTAGTGGAGATCTTTCCACAGTATTCCACAGTGGTATTAGATGTAGTCACACTATCATTATTCATTTAATAATGAATTAAGTGTGGATAAGACACACCAATCAGTTTTATTACAATGGAAGTCTGTAGAGTTGTAGATTTAAATAGATCCATTAATCATTTGAGTTTGACTTTTTTTTTTTTTTTAAATCATACCGGTTCTAGCTTCTTAAATGTGAGTGTCTGCTGGTTTTCTCAGCCTACTGGGATAGTAAACTTCATATCTTTAGGTTTTAGACTGTTTGTTGTTACTTTGGGCTCTGGAGCATTGTGGTATAGACTCAACAATGAATCGATCGAGGCCAGAATAGTTCCTGTATTTGTCATACTCCTCCTCAGGTTCAGACTCCTACACCCCCAAATCATATGAGGCCAAGCTCTTCTGCATCTTCTACTGCACCTTGGGGATCCCCCTCACCCTCTTCCTCCTCACCCTCCTCTCCAACATCCTCCTCCCCGTTGTCACACACGCTCCCGTCCACCACCTGTGCACTTACTGGGGTATGCCCTACGCCCGGGCCGCCCTCGTCCACGCCGGCCTCCTCTCTGCACTTGTCATGTCCCTCCTGTTCCTACTCCCCGCCCTTCTGGTCTGCGCTGCAGAGCCAGACTGGAGCTTCCTGGACGCCCTTTTTTTCTGCTTTATTGTCCTGAGCACTGTCGGTCAGGGAGGAGACTCTCTGGGGAGGACCTGGGGCCCAACGGCCAGGGAGACCATAGAACTACTCACCACATGTAAGTAGAAGGATCATGTTTGAGTCGTGCTGCGAGTGTGTAAGAATAATATCTTTATTTATATAGCATCACAACAAAGTTACAGAATGCTTCACAAATAAAGCAAAGAACACATAAAATGGCATAGAAACACATAAAAACAGCACCGAAAAACTTAAACAGGATAAAACAAGAATCAGAGAAGGTGGTGCAATATAAGTATGTTTTGAGCTTTGATTTGAAAGGAGTCACTGACTGCCTCGGGGCTCTTATTTCAAAAGCACTGTCCCCTTTAATGTCCAGCCAAGAGTCTGGAACAGATAAAGGCCCCTGTCAAAGGATCTCAAAGTGTGAGCAGGGTCGTACGGGTATAAAAGATCCGTAATATACTGGAGAGTCAGACCATTTAGGGCCTTGTTAGTAATTAAAATCAATTCTAAAGCATGGAAGCCAGTGTAAAAATGATACATTATATTGATTAAATGTGTTGTTGTGAATTAACTTACATTATAACTGCAACAATATCAGTCTGCAGGGTTCTAAAGTATGTTGCATTAAAAGAGGTTAGACCATATAAACATCTGATGAGACGGTTATAGATCACCATTTTATATAAAGAGGATGTACTTCCATACTTTACAAATCCAGACTGCTAGTGAGAACAAACAGTGGGGTTTATGTCTGACTTTAAAGCTAACTTTAAAAAAATAACTTTTAGTCATATTTGCTGAAACTTTCACTATATCCTGACAGTAGTACCCAAAGTGTCAGCATTTGACGACTAGGGAATGATACTCAACTATCTTTCTCAGCTCTGATTGGTTGTTTTCATTCAGATTATCTGTCTCATGTACTACTGTCGGGATATAGTGAAAGTTTCAGCAAATATGACTAAAAGTTTTTTTTTTTTTTTTTTTAAAGTTACCACGTGCAGCTTTAAGCTGTATATCACAATATTATTATTTCAAATGATGATGTGTAAGGTGTCAGTAACCCGTTAGTTTTTTCATTTTTATTCCATTTTTCATTTTTTTTTAATGGATTGTTTTCATAGCAACTATTTTGACATGAAATAGTAGGGTAAACACCGGTATTACCAATAATAATAATTAAGGTTTGGTTTCATTTAGTGTGGCAGAGCCTTTGTAGTGAACCAATGTGCACAATAGGAGCACCTTGACCCTGTTTGTTGAATAGAACAGAACAATAATGCATCTTTCTCTCTGCACAGGTTACCTACTGGTGGGCCTGGTGGTGATCATTACCTTAAAGGATACTGTCCTGCAAGTTCCCCAGGTCTGCGCGGTGATGAGGCTTTTCTCTGGTCCGCAGTACACTGAGCTGGAAGGCGTCTATCTCAACGAACTGACGATGAGTGATGACAACACTGAGGAAGAGCCCCAGTACTCCCAGTCCATCTGTACCGTCTCCTCCACTCCATTAGAGCTGTTGTCAGGTCGGCCCGCTGACCCCCACCCACGCAGAACCTCTACTCCCGAAACCACCTGACCTTTACAACTGGAAACTGTTCACACCCCTTTAGCTTCTGACATTAAGGTGTTTCAGTATTCAAATACACTACGTCCAATTTGATCAAATTCTGTGGAGTCATATATGCGCCACCAGCCAAGTGAATTGAAATGATTCGCTCTGAATTTAAATGTAAAGCTTAACTGAATTATTTCTCATGTTAATATCCATGTTTAGCTTTCCAACAACATACTGCAGACTGAGGTGGTCAGTTTTTAGGAATATTCAACCACCATCTACTGAAGCGGACCAGTACTCGATGGTAATGCTGATTTTTGTCCACATGAGTAACCCTTACCTTCTCATTGTAAGGTTACCCACCCACGGTCTGGTGAGCAGACCGTACACAACATGACTGTAATAGTGCTGCAGGGGCTTCCTCGCGATTCAAACATTAGATTCTATCGCTCCTAGAAAACAGAAAATAATAAACATAGGAAAACTAGCACCGTTGGTATAAACCACCAAAACTCCACCAATTCAAACAAGAAACAAGGAAAATTGGCGCGCTTCGGAATTCGAATTCGAAATTATTAGTGTCCGCTTGATTTTGGCAAAAAAATGGATCTTAAAGAATTATAGAAAGGCCCTCCGTAATGCCAGGAGGAGCCTATTTTACTCAAGCCCACTTAATAGGAGAAAAATAAGAAAAACCCTAGGTTCCTCTTCAGCACTGTAGGGCCAGGGCTTGACAGGAGAGTCACACAAGCTCTATTGAGCCACCATATCCCCCATAAATTTAAGTAGGCAATGGACTTCATGAACTTTCTTTTTATAATAAAATTATTACTATTAAGAGAGAAAATTTGTCCACCCAAATACCCCTTAATAAAGAGTGGAGGCTCTCCAAAGATAAAGAAACTTTAACTAATGCAACCATCAGATAATATTTAGAATTTTTTTCTGTATTCAAGTCTCATTCCAGTTTAACTCATTAATTTCTTCATCAAAGCCATCAACCTGTCTATTAGACCCCATCCCAAAATAGGCTTGCTTAAAAGAAGTCGTTAACCTTAATTGGCACTTTACTTACTAAAGAATATGACTAATCTTGGTTATATCAGGATATGTAGCACAGTCCTTTAAAAGTAGCTGTAATTAAACCCTCTTTAAAAAGCCCACTCTCGACCCAGGGGTTTTAGCATTAGTATTTAACTATTAGACCCATTCTAACATCCCTTCTCTCTTAGAATTCTAGAAATTAAATAGTCGGCAAACAGGAGTTAATTTTATTTGAGGATTTTCAAGTCAGGAATTTCATTCATTCAACAGCACAATTGCTTCTGACAATGGGACTTGTCTCTGTACTTGTATTATTTAGATCTTAGTGCTGCAATTTGACACCATTGGAACCATAAATTCTTTTACAGAGACTTGAGCATCAAAATTGGCATTAAAGGAACCGCACTAAGCTGGTTTAGGTTCCTAATTATACAGATCGTTCACCAGGTTGTTACATGTTTAAGATGAATGTCAATAAATACTACATAATCAATGGGAGTTCCACAAGTTCTACTTGGACCAAATGCCATTTACTTTTATATATGCTCCCTTTAGGCAAAACACTATTTGAGGGAAAATCCAAACTCCATAACCCTTCCCCATGCTATGGCAAGATGATGCGCAAGTTAATAATTCTATCGATCAAGCCCGATTGAAATTTAATTCAATTAAATCTAAATTTTTTACAAAATTTCAATTCAAATTCAATTCAATTTATTTGTTATAGCCGCCAATTCTAAACAGGGAAGTTACTTTTTTCAAGTGGACAACCTTTTTCCAAATTAGAGCAGTCCTAGGGGGAACCCGAATTTCCTTTTAAACATTTTAACAGGGACCCCAAAAAAACCAGTACCACCAATGAGGGCAAGGCCACTTGGCGGGACAGGCAAGAAAAAAAACGGCCTTTTAACGGCAGAAAACCTTCAGACAGACCTTGGCTCTAGTATCTTAAGACTATCGGGGGGATTTTCCCATTGGTGCACTGACTCCTCTCTGTTCCTCTGCTCTTCTCTTTCTTAAACTCATTTCCATGTCCCATAATGCATTGTTTACTAACTTCCCACTTCTTCCCGGGTTCTTTGTTGCTTTATCCGTCTGCAGTCTCAAGGGATCCTGGAGGAGCCTCTTGCCCCATGGTCCTTGCCTTGGAACTTTAACATTGCTAAAATTTCATGATTAATAATTTTTTTACCTATTATTAAGATTATTAAGTTATTAATTATTGCCTAACAGTTACTGTTGGTCGCTACTTCGCCTGTCCCCTCAAATTCGTTGCTTGCTGACAATCGTCCATTTGTTATTTTTTCAGTGATCGGTTCATCGATCATTTACTATTAATTTGTAAACGTTAAATAGTCCCCCCCCAACTGGTCAAGGCAGATGACCAACCACCTAGAGGCGAAAGATCTGTCCTAGGGTTTCTGCCTGTTAAAAAAGGCAGTTTTGCAGTTTCTTGCCCCCGTCGGCCAAGTGCTGCTCAAGGTGGTTATGTTGGGTCTTCGTTAAATGTTAAAAAGGATTTTTCGGTCTAAGCCTGCTCTATTTGAAAAGTGTCCTGAGATAACTTCTGTTATGAATTTGCGCTATTACAAATAAAATTGTGAAATTGAAAAACTGAGTCACCCCGTTGGTGAAATTTTTTTTCTGAGGGGTATTATGAAAAAAGCGTAAAATAATGTGTAAAAATAACTTTTTTATGCTTCAAATTGCCCCAAAACCCTCCTTAGTAAGTTCAATGTTTGTTCTGGTAAAACCCTGCCTATTGCCAATGCTAGTGAAAAACAGCTTAATACTAAGACAACACTGAAAATAGCCTTAAGGAATGAGGAAAAACACTCAAAAAAGAATTCTGGTTTAAGGACTGAAGTATTGAGAGTTCAGAAAACTCCCACAAGTTCACATGGTGACAAACTTTATAGACCTCACGACAAATTCCACAAAAAAAAGAGACAAAAACCCCAGGAACTTGTACTGTAAAAAAAACCACCCAAATGGACTTTCTGGTTGACTCACCTTTTGGCCTCAAATAAAAAAAATTTAAATACTTACTATAACTTACATTCCCACTGAAAACCCTAAGGGTGTTATTTAATAAGAGTTTCACAAATCAATTCATTTCCCCTGATCCTGATTTAACTAACAGTATTAATTCCCAGAAAGTTAACACTTAATTTCCAGATCCACTTTGTTAGAACCAATCTGATAGCATCCAGTCAGGTTGCAGGAAAGAACCATGAAGAACTAATGTTACGTTACTGAGCACCAGTTGGAATAAATTATACAAAGATCATTTAGTTTGTGTATATGTGGTGGTCATACATTTGGTAAAGAGCACATTGGGACTTGAATGCAAAGGCTTTACTGTGTCAGCTGCTGATGAGATGAACATGAACACACTTTTCAAATCAACCTCCTCCAACCTGTAACAATATAACTTAAGATAAAACCAGATACATTGTTTGCTCATTGTCTCTATGGCTTTATATCATGAGCGCAGAGGGAGAATGAAAGTGAAAATATATCACATTAGACTGAATGTCTGTGATTTTGTTAGATAGTTTACAGATACAGTAGTTTTGGGAAATTTGCCTTCGGACAGACTTTTAGATGTATTTGTATAATCATGATCCCATAGGGATCCAGGAATTGAGCGAAACTATAAAGTTTCATAACCCCTGTATGGTGATACGTATCATATGAAGAGATTTTTGCCAATACACAGCCCTATTCATAGGGGAACTTCCTCTTAAAGGTAGGGTTGCGTGACTTTTTTGAGAAAGCAGGGGAGGGTTTTTTATTTTTTCTTCTCATTGAAAATGTCTTTTATTTCAGCCTCATTGTAGTATAATAGTTACATAAATAGCTACATCAGGAAGAAAACTTTCACTTTCCACATACAGAGGACAACAGCTGTCTGGATAATTCACACTACCTTTTGTACTTTTGTGGCATTTTGACTGGTAACGCATGCAACCTAGCACTGACACCTTTTTCACTGTGTCTCTGGTGTTTTATTTCTTCCTGTTAGCCATTGAAAAGGCCTTAAAAAGTTTTTTAATTGAAGTTGCTTAAACAAACAGGTAGCAGGAATGAGACTGACCACAAGGTGTCGTAACTAACTAATGTACAGCTGCAGTCCAGGTCTGAGGGAAGAGGTTGTTTTCCACGTTTGTGCCACGCCACAACAGTGGTTCCCAACCTTTCTGCTCTTAAAGAGCAGAAAGGTTGGGAGGTTTCTCTATCGTTGAGTAAACTGATTTCCCATGCGTTACACATTAATGGGTGCCGTCTTCTGGTTATCATGTTTACATTTAAATCTCCAGATTGACCTCTCACTAATTAGTCAATGCAATAACTGCAGGAGGTTTGTGTAAAATTAGCTTTCCTCATATTTTTTTTTACAATTCTCTGTCTGTATTATATATATTTTTTAACAATCATACATACTTAACAGGCTTCTTTTTTAAAGTCAGTGTTTTCGTCTCCCTGTTGCGTCACCATTGTTCTATTAGCTCTTTGCTTGTTTAAATTACTTTTCTACAGCAGGACAAGCCTATTTATCAGAGAGTGAACGCTCTGTGAATACAGCTTGTGTTCAGGTCTTTACCGTCTTTTTACTTAAGATAAATAAGATAGACTTTATTGATCTCACACTGTTGAAATTCACTCGCTACAGCAGCTCCAGATACAACACAACACAATAGAAATAAAAAATACACATTAAATAAAAATAGAATAGAAAAATCCAAGATCTAATAGAAAAAACAGAATAAGATTAACATGTACACTATATACAGCTTTTTATATACAGATGTGGTTGATAAGGAACATTGCACAGGTCACAGCAGGAGGTAGTGGCATGGTGTAGAAATAAATATAACTGCACAGGGTTAGGCTATGAATAAAGAGTACAGGTATAATGATAATTTGTTTTTATGAATTTTTTTACGTATATATATCCAAGTTTTCTTATACCCCTTTAAAACAATAAGGCCTTGCCACCTCCTGTGTAGCTTTGGCAAGCCCTATGGGTGTCCAGACTCCCAGGTTCGCAACCAGTGCTCTACAGTACGTTGGTGTTAATTTGGTTAAAGATCAGGTTAAAGCTCCTGAATGACTTGTCTCACTGGCAGTAGCTTCATGAGCCTCAGTGTGGTGTGTATAGATAAGAAGGGTGTGGAATATATCTCTGCACATCTGGAGCCTCACACTGTTTGTCCAA